TGCAGTTTCATAATTTCCACGTTCTTCTGTAGTCATGGCCAATCCACACAAAATGTCATCAGCTTTGTCGCCCATACAATAAATCAGTGTGTTAACTTGGTGCAAATCTGATGCTTGTGCAAGGTTACTTGCAACTCTGAATCGTTCAAATCTTCTGAGCCATCTTTCAAAGTCATTTGGCTTTGTAAAATCGAATGCATCAGGAGGTCGTATTTGATATGAAGATGTGGGTGCTGGTGATTCCTCCATTTGCTTTGTAGATAATTATTGTTTGTTTTATTTGTGTTTCTTTTTGCAGTCTTTTACAACTTTAGCGCTTTATTCAACTTTTATAAATCATAATACGCTTCCGTGGGCCTCTCTGCCTGCACCCCGGCTGCCTGGCGACCACACCCCTCCCCCACTCTTAACTTACAATGCGGTGGGTAGGCGCGTGCTGATCCACTTGCTGACGTTCCCTTGTCTGTGAGCTGATTTCCAGCTACAAGGAGAAAAAGAAAAACAGATTATGCAGGAGGGAGATGCAGGGAACAGGGATTGGGTGTTCTGCAAAGAGAGTTGGAGGTAGATAATTTTGCAGTAACTGTTATGCTGATGTTGTGGCTGGTCAAGCAAATGTTTGTGCTTGTTTCTGTATGATATAATTGTTAATATATCTATTAAAATTGAGGTTAGGACAATTCCAAGGGCCCGGCGTTAGAGGGGGCGTCTTTTTTTACAGCGGGGAACGCGGAACATGATTTCTACCGAGGGGGACCCTAAAATGTTAGAACCAATAGCCTTGTGCATATAGCGTGGTTGTGCTTCGGGTGATCCTTGAAAGTGTCCCAGCTCTAGGTCCTTTCTGATGCCGTCTCCTCCACTCTCTCCCACTTGTGCACTTTCTGTACTGTCCTGTATAAATAAAAACAAAAACACCAAAAATAAATCCTCATAAAATATCAACTTTGATATTGTGAAATATCTTTAACTGAAAACTGAATGCAAAACAAATCACATACAATATTTTCACTTTACAGTTCAATAACAGTGGGGTTGGAAACAAAGTGCACAACACTATTCATTAAACATTAATTTAATGTATTCAGATGAATGTTTACAATATTAACAAATTATTCACAAGCAGTTTTTTTCAGAGCCCGCAGATAAACTGTTTTAATCAGAATCCTAACTATACAGTGTATTTAGTAAAACAAGTAAAATCAAATTAAGTACATTTTTAGTAAACCAAGTAAAATCAAAACCTATCACAAAAGGTCAATGAATCTCTACCAGAAGCCTAACTATACAGTGTATTTAGTAAACCAAGTAAAATCAAAACCTATCACAAAAGGTCAATGAATCTCTACCAGAAGTGACAGTGCAATGTAGCAAGCAGATGAACAATTCCTTACCAATTTGCCAATAATAAGCTGGATCCTCGATGACTCTGCAAGGGGAAAGAAGAAATGGTTTACTGAAAAGTTATTAAAAAGCAGGATTTAATTTTATACCATTTCTTAAAACCAGTGGTTCTCAAACGCGGCCGGTGGGCTTGCGGCAAGCACATGTGACGACCCCGGGCTGGACTCCGCTTCGTCCACGGTGAAAGCCCACCCGATCCCGCGATCGACAGCGCGAAGTTGAAGTATTTCCTCAGCGACCAGCACGGATCAGCTCCAGGCATGACGAAGCAATATCGTCCTCTTTTGGAAGGCCAAACAAAGTAGTTTCGCTTTCACAACGAATCACACAGCGCCTTCACGACATGGCGGCGGCGGCAACAATACTACAGCGAGAATAAAAGTTAAGCCTTCTTTCTTTGCGTGAACATTTGGGCGTGTTATGCAAATCTTCCCACATAGTGACGTAGATATGTGGGGGCGTGTTAGAACGAGCCGTTTTAGGTAGGCGTGGTTGACTCTTAACTTTAATAAAGAATATCTCTTTGGATTTGAGACTTTAGTCTTTGCAACTTTACAGATCTTCTTTATGCACCAAGAGCTTGTAACACTTCAAAGAGAAAGGAAAAATTTAAATCGCATCATATGACCCCTTTAAATTGTACCGACATTTGCGATTATATGTTATTCAGAAAACACGAACAGAGTATGTTATCGTTGAGACTATTATACGATTAAAAATATATAACACACTTAATGCATGGCATTCACATCAGGAAAATGTGGAAAAAATCTCTAAAAGACAGACATTAACACATAACTTGCCATCAACACAACAACATCAGATGAGCATCTAACTTTAGCATCTGTGATAAAGTAATACACACACACACACACACACACACACAGGTATTTATCTTGTGCAGGTTACATGTTACATGTTACACCCATTTGTAAACACTGGTAACGTTATATACTATTTTTGAAAGGAATAGCGATTTTCTTAACTGATTTTGCCCGTATGTTTGCAGGACCTCGCAGATCACATCTGACCCTTCTTGTGTTCACATTCCAGTTTTTGTTCTCCGACATGTCACGACTCAAATTCGCTTAAATAAAAAAATTAACAGGCAAATATAAAATAATTCAGGACCGACCGAGAAGTTTAAACGAGCAGCAGCTCACAGTCAGATGCCTCACTCAGAAAGATGATAATAATGGTCATATTTTCAAATTTACAAAGGCGCGAACCGTTTCATTTGCCAGTTTCCTGGATGACAGCCAGATTAACCAATAACGCAGCGAAATTTAGCTTTATTGTTGTTAATGATGATACTATTTAACATATTCCTTTAAATTTTTGAATAGGTTTCATGATCAAAATATTGTAAAATGCTAATAAAATAATAATAATGATCTTAAATAATTTAATAATAATTTAAAAGGCAGAAATTTATTTTGTATGCTGTTGAAGTCATTAAGTTGATTCAACATACAGATCTTATTTTAAAAATCAACGTTGATTTACAAGTGTTTTTGTTAACCTTTTTCAACCATTTAGCATTAAACATTTTTCAACTGTCATTATTTCAACCATATTTCAACGTTGGTCATGTGCGGCTGGTTTTCAACAGTTCAGCATTAAACGTTGTATCAACGTTGTTTCAACGTTAAAACAACAACTGACCTTATTTCAACCATATTTCAACGTTGAAGGTCGGTCATGTGCCGGCTGGGTACGCTCTTACTTTAGCGTTTCTTCTCCCATGGTGTTTATTGACTTATTCAAAAGTTTATCGTTTGTTGGAGACTGTTCTAGCCGCTTCTGACACCATGTTGTGTTCGTGGATGAGCCGAGGCAGCGTACTGATCACTAGGGGTGGGAATCACCAATACTGAGCGGAGCGTCAAACCGCGCAGTGACGAGGAGAGTGAAACATGCGCGCCGAACACTGCCGGTGTTCTGATTATTTGTGCTACCCTGTCAGATTTTGCTACCTTCCATTAAAACAGATGGTAGCATAATTCGATAGCGAAAAGTGCTATGAGCTAGTGGATTGTAAAGAATTTTTTTTTATTATTCTACCAAATAGTATAATAAAAGATCGATACTTGGCGTCAGTGTATCGATACAGTATTGCAGCGGAAAATATCGCGATACTATGCTGCATCGATTTTTCCCCCCACCCCTACACTCGCACAGTACTAAACCCCCTGCTTAGGGGCGTGGCTCCTCAATAGCGATCTCACTAATCAGATATCACTACACTCTACTCGTGTTCATGTTCTATTCTCTACAAACTCAATGTGTGAATCATCTTAACTATAATTACAGTACAGGTATTTCATAAATCATCCCTTATTCCAGTGTGTTAATTTGTGCAATGATAACCTACCAGCAATGTAAGTGGGTTTTTTTATATTCTCCTGAGACCCAGCTATGGAGTTTTTGCCTCTGTAGTGGATATTATATTTTAGTGAATTTCTCTGAGACCTCACATGTCACAGTTTTAAGTCTGGATGTCCTGTACAGAGCACATTCAGGGCTTTCCAGAGATACCAAATGTTTGGATGTTTCACCATGACCACCTCCTCTCCTTGGTCTTTAAACATGGCTGACATTAATTTAGTGATAACATTGTACATCCTTATGGAAATATGATAATATTTTGTAATTATAATTTAAATCTGATTCATTTTCAAATTGTTTGTCATAAATCAACATCTCAGGAAAATGTTATGGGGTTTCAAATCAAAATAGGCTATGACTTCCTGTTATGAAACAGGACATCATTTCATACATGTCCACTGTAGAGGACACCAGGACTAAAAGCATGTTTATTATACATTTTGGGAGACAAAAGAATTGAATAGGAAAACAAATTATATATCAATATTCTTATGAAATATTAGATATTATTATGAAAATCGGGCCAATTACTACTCCCATTATTACACTTCCCATTGAATTCCCATTGTTTTTGCCTTTTCATGTCTACTTTGTCATTTTATTTTTTAGAAAAACTGAGTCCTGGTGTCCTCTACAGAGGGCATAGCATAACATGAATAAAATTTAATTTTTAAAAAATGTTATTTTACCATTTTTTTCTTATGCTCTAAACAGTGCAATGACATGAAAAAATACTAAATGGTTCTCAGGAGGATATATATATTATCACACTTTCTGTTTAACAAAATACTTGGATAACGCTTTTCGTCCTCTTGAAAAATTACACGCATGCGCAGTATCATCAGCTCATCGGTTCTCAAATCGGACGTGTCCGAAAGAAACGGTTCTCGGCTGAGTGTACCAGTGATCCGAAAACCGATGCAACCGGTTCTTGACTCGAGAACGAGAACCGCTCCAGCAGTGGGCATTTAGGTTCGTTACCCGGCTCGCTGCACACTTGCTGCTCTGCTCGTTGGTTCAGCCGGTTCACTAAGAAGAACCGGTTAAATCGAACGATTCGTTCGCGATCCGGTGTTACGAGATTTTCGGTTTCTGAGATATTGGGTTTCAATTCAATTCAATTCGGCCCACTGAAACCGAAAATCTCAGAAACCGAAAATCTCGTAACACCGGACATCACTAAAAGCCACTCCCCTTTAAGACATCATCACCACCACCATCCTCATCGCCGCCCCTGCTGCTCTAGTAATTGATGTTATGGAGAAGAAAGCGAGCGAGGGATTCACAGTTTATACATTCTCCCTACTAACATCCTAAAGCATGAAGGAAATCCGGTAGGCACTTTACTCAAACAAAAAAAGAGAGAGAGAGATTAATCTGGTTGGTTTACAGATTTTTTTTTCATTGTCCCATGGGAGAAAAGAAACGCACGAATTTAACATGAAGAGAATAACGGGGAAGACGAAAGAAGCCACTTTGATAGAAATGTCCAACACGCTGGATTCTCAGATTGAAGGTAAGCTGCTACAACAGTTGTGTAACCCCAATATGCCATATTCAAAACCATAATGAGAAGGTCAGTCTCGGGTGTCAGCGTAAAGGACAAGAGAAATAAATAACCTCTGCGTTAAATTAGCTGGCGGAATCAGAGAACGATGAAAAAACACTGCTGCGTGTTCACTGGGTCAGTTCGCCTGAACAAAACAAAGACGTAGGCTGTAAACAAAGTACATGATCATATAAGCGGTGTTGAGCTCAAATTAAAATAGCCTAAGTTCCTGAAATGGAAAGGCATGGAAAAGTTGCGGTCTACACCCAGAGGCTGTTGTTACCTGGCACCGTGTTGTATCCTGCATTACAAAAGCTTGTTTTTAACAGGCTTTAAATCCAGTAAAAGCGTCCTGGTGTTCATTTATCTGCATGATCTACGGATTCTGAAAAAGTACAGAGAAACGTGATATTTTATTGTACGTATCTTTGAATGAATTGTAGTTTTAGGAGCAGTTTGGACCCCTTTAATTAGTTTTCGCGTTACTCTGTCTTGCCACATGGCTTGGCCTCAGTCCCAGTTTAACTTGGGAATCAAACAGTCCTTATGTTGAATCAGTTAAGTGTCTTTGTGACTCATTCGGAGTTCATTCAGTTCCACTGCACACATACATTTTTAGACTAGAAAACATAAGGCTCCTCCTTTAAGAATGTGATATGAAAAAGAAGTGAATAGTCTTTGTATCAGTGTAGTATTGAATAGTGTAATGCAGTGTTCTCGATTTTTGTAGTATTGTATCAAACAAATAGCAAAATCCTTATTTTATTTGGAATGATACCCAGTAGGTTTTGCAATAGAGGTCCTTAGCGGACACACAGCCTGGGAAGATGTTACTGGTTTTCCCTGATGACAACTAAATACAGTAAGCTATCTGAACAGAATATCCTGCGCTGATTTAACTCAGGGATGTGACAGATGTGTCATGCTACAGTGTAGTTTGATCCCACTCAATATAACTCAGCTTGTTTTTTTAATAATGTAAAATGAATTATGGAGCTGAGCAGAGCTGAAATGAATCAGTCCGGGGTCTGGTGCTTAGCTCCTGTCACCCTGAGACTTTTTGTGTCACATGTTGAGTAATGGTTGTTAAAGCATTAAGGCTTGAGGGAGACTTTTTTTTAAGTGTGAGGCATGTAGGTGTATGTTTATGTCCACGACTTGTGGTCAGGCCCGGATTAGGAATTCAGAGGCCCCTGGGCACAATGTCTTGTCGGGCCCCACACATCCATACACACACACACACACACGTGCACAATCAAGGTTTTAAATGATAGGGTACTATTTGTTGGAAACACCTCTAGCTTATAAAGGATTTACACTCACAGGTTACAGCCTATGATCGCATCCTCTATAATTCAGGATTTATAATATCACATGATTGCAACAATGCTTTCCTGGACCAGCAGCAATCTTTGCAATAAGTGTAAATAGTAATTATGCTATCTGTACTTTATATTGGCAGATACTATTTGCACCTCTGTATTTTTGTATATTAACAGAATAATAACATAGGGACATAATAACCCAACAATAACATAAAACAGACCTTCCCGAAAACTCCCCTCCAGATTCACAAATGCTTCGTAAACATCAGATTTGATAGTTAAACATGTATATGTGAATGAATTCCAATCATTCGTAAATAGGGCGCATGCGCACGCTCGTTCACAATAAACATAATCCCCGTCTATGAATTACAGCTACGTAAATTACGTGTCCAGGAACACAGTGGAATATTCTGGACTCCCTTCTCAGGTTTGGCTCCAGTATATTTAATAAATGCAAAAACAAAAGACTAATAGGCCATATGCCTAACAATAAATATTCAAATGAACGTGTCCATCAAAGCATTTTTAGCCAGGTGCTCTTCTGAAAACGGCCAGCTAGTGGCACTTGAGAACTCTTTGGTGGCACAGCGTTTTTAAGATTTGGTTGCTATGATGTGGAATATTAACGGCAGTAACGTATTACTAGTATCTCATTTTGAAGAATATATAACTGAATATAAAAATGCAGTAACCAGTAATATTAACTTCTCCATTGTTGCTCAGTCGTTGTACAAGTAGGATGGTTGGTCGGTGTAGCATTTGTCCCATTACAGCGTTTTTCCAGCTGAAGATTTGGTTGCTATGATGTGGAATATTAACGGCAGTAACGTATTACTAGTATCTCATTTTGAAGAATATATAACTGAATATAAAAATGCAGTAACCAGTAATATTAACTTCTCCATTGTTGCTCAGTCGTTGTACAAGTAGGATGGTTGGTCGGTGTGTCGCATTTGTCCCATTGATTGGACAGCTTGTGACAGTGACGAGCGCTGCGTTTTACCCAAAGTTGAACAGTAATCAACCATAGTCTCAGCTCCAAAAGAAAAAAAAGAAAAAAAAAACATTTAACTTATAAAATATTATATGGCAGTGCATCAAAACGCAGTGTCATCAGTTTGCCAAAAAGAACACAGAATGTTTTACGCACCATTAACACGAGCAGCAGGTGTAGGCCTACATCTCTTTCGTACCAACTAACATTTTGAAAATACGAACATTTTCATGAGTTCGAAAGTTTATGTCAGAACGGCTTTATGAACGATTTACACAAAAATTTGTTCTGCTCATGTTTCATGAATGAGGCCCATAGAGTGGCGGACTCGAACCCGGGTCGATCGCGTCAAAAGGTAATTCTGTGATTCTGACTTTCTACTGCCTACACCACTGTAGCCGTTGAATTCAATGCGTCTTTTTTAATATTGAGTGTCAACTAGACTTTGGTGGGCGGAGCTACTGTAAATAACGTTATTAAGGGGAGCCGAGCACCCCCTAGCTCCCCCGTAGTTCGCACCCTGACGTTTGCCAACAAGCGCACTATTTGCACTTAATGTAAAGACACTCCAAATTTTTTTTCTTCCCCTCGCTTGGGCCCCAAGTGCGCATGGGCCCCTGGGCCTGTGCCCATAATGCCCATTGGATAATCCGGCCCTGCTTGTGTTCACATAGGTGTGTGGGTTTGTATGCCCAAGTGACTTATTATTATTATTATTATTATTATTATTTTGCTCTGCAGTTCTTAGGACTGATGCCGGGGTTTGCCTCTGTCATGAATGTGTGTTCTGTAGGAGGAGTGGTTGAAAGGAAAGAGAAAAACTAGAATGTAAGGAAAGTGGCCTTTTGGTTGGAAATCATCTAAATGATATTTCAGGGGAACCCCAGCCTAATCCCTCCTGCTTTGCCTGTCACTGCGACTGTTTGATCTGTGTACTACTGATCATAGGTGATTCACTGGATAGTAATTTGATTATGCTTCCCGACTGGGACTGTGACACTGCACTGCCACGGCTCACATGTCTGCAACGTGTGATTGAAAAAATAGAGGGATTTACAGTGACTTACAATTTTGTATATACATTTGACTTGCACTGTATTTCATTAATAGATTAAAATATTTCACTCTGAAATGCATTGAAACCTCAAGTTAGTTATTTGTGTATGAAAAGTTTTATATTGGCCAAATACTTAGCAGCTACAAGTGCACAACAAGATTTGTGAGTTTAATATACATTTGATTTATAGGTGCTTTATTCACAGCAAAATGAACAAGTGCAGCAGAGCTTGGTCTACATTTAAACAGCTCTAAAAACAGCTCTTTTAAACTTCTCTTAGAGAATCAACCAAAAACCCCAGCTAATGGGCAGCTCATTTTAGATGCTTAACAACGTTCATATTGCACATTATTTCATTTTAGCTATAAAGCTTCTTGTTGCGGCAGTAATTAAAAACATGGTAATATATTAGGCTACTTCTTTTCATCATCTTTGTTATTGCAGCATGCACATCATGACTATGCATCAGTGTAATTGTGTTTAGTTTTTAGATTTAGTCTGTTTTAAATTCTTTTATATATATTACACTTCTCAGATATGCTAAAATAATGAAATCCAATTGCTTTTTTGTAAACATTGAGTTGGATGGTTAATCCGTCTCAAGTGGTCCAATAGAGGTTGCTTGACTATTTTAATTTTTTTTGCTAATTTTGTTTTAGTGATTACCTCTATGTTTCAGTATTGCAAAACTAAAAAACTAATCTTTAGAGCATATTTCATGGTACGTGTATGTATTGTTCCTTAGTCTTAGAATTTAAGTCCAATATAAATATATGTACACTATACTTACCAAGGTAAAAACTTAGGGTTGAGACTCCAATCCTTCCCATTGTAAATTGACCCTAAATTTGGAACGCTGAGCTATCTTGATCTACATTTGGCCTTAAGGTCTACTCTAAGGTACAAGAATGGCAAAATGTTTACATATCTACATGTACCTTGTAATGTGATCTAGCGATAAGTAAAGGAGCTCAGAGCTGAGATATGGAGGTTTCTGTTATGATCTGTTTAACTGACCATAACAAACCATAACCCACTTCAGTTGAACCTGTATAACATTTGCCACAATACATAATGTTTCAAAACCACTTTATGGAAATCATCCCTTAGTGCCACCAGTGAGCAAACCAAAGGAGACAGACAAAAGTGAGAGGAAAAAAACTCAGAGGAACCAGTGTCCCCTGGCAAGGCACACATTACAATTGTTAACAATCCAGCAAAATCATTAAAAACCTGCGGAAAAACATTTATTGACTCTTTTGCTTTTCAAAGGTACTGCATAGTGTCTGACAGTGTGAATCGTTCCGCTGTCTCTTCTGTGTTTATCAGTGCATTGTCACGGGCTGTCACACAGAAGACAGAGTCTCTTATCGGGGCAGACCTCATGGTATCCTTTCTAGAGAGTGCAACATCGACACCCATGTGGGCCCTGAATAGATTTCCGAGTCCTTCCTGTTACACCATGCCGGCTGTGTTTGTTTTTATGTGTTTGCATGAGTGGTTTTCTTACCTTGACCTCTCTTGTAAGGTAATAGAGAGATTAATTTAGTTACAGAGTTACTCTACTAAAATGAGTCATTATTCAAAC